TTCCCTAAATAAAATATCCTTTTAAAGCCATTTATTTCTGTCATTCTATTTCTTAATTAAAGAGCAGCAATTCTTTTTGTAAACAAAACTGTGCACAGATAGGAAATAATAATACAAAAAGGCCGCCAGCATTCTTCACCCACACCTTTCATCCTGAGAGCCACGGCAGACAGCCCTGTTTGCCAGCAGCCAGCCAGCCACTGCTGCGTTCTGATCAACAGGAGGGGAATTGCAGGGAATGGGCATTCCTGGCTGATAATGCCATTTAAGTTAGAACAGGAGAAGATGTACCAAAAAACATCAGGTGCCTGGGGTCCATGGAGACACCCTGGAAGCTAACAGGGAAAGCACAGCTTTCTTAAGAGCACTATGTCTTTTACCATATTCCTGCAAGTCCAGCATCCACCCAACCTCAGTGTAGTAAGAAATTTTTCTAGCTGGCATGGTCTGCTCCTCTTCTAGCCCCAGATGCCCTCATATCAGAGGATGTCACACAACCCACATACGACAGCAATCCCAGCAAATAAATCAGTTTGATGCATTGTTCCTGGCCATGGGCACAATTAAGGTTGCCAAACATCTAGCAGTCCTGGATACTTCAAGAACAATGGCCTCTGACTAAAAATCAGGTTCATTATTATATTCTGGATGCATAAAGCCCCACAGTATATCAAACTGGTTTTGTGATGTCAATACACAAGTAATAGTCTCATATTCAACTACTCCTCTCCTCACCCAAAATAACCCCAAGATTTGAGTATATGTAAAGGTACAGATATTCCAACAATAAGAGTTGCTGAAAATAAGAGAGTTTAAGATAAAATCATATGATGGTTCTCCTCTTCCTTTTTGACCCACTCTTTAAAGGAAACACTATGTAACGCAGCCTTCCTTTTTATTTTGAAAGATTCCTAAATTCTTATGCTCCAGAAATAACACAGACCTCCAAGGATGCTAACTCCTCAAGAAGTACTCCCCCACCCTGCATGCTTTCCACCTGAGCTTATCAACCATAGAGTCTAGCAATGCTGTCCAGATCCCAAAATACATTAATTACCTGGCCAGTTTGATTGGGGCCTAGAAGACCATTTAAGATGTTAAGTTAATACACTGCACATCTTTGTGAGCTGGCTGGCATACCCCTGAGATGTTATGTACACAGATGGACTATTCTGTGCATTAACAGAAAAGGCGAAACTCTTTTCATTAAGTTTAAAGCAAGCTCTACCTCATCTGTGGGCCTAAACAAATAAAAAACAATAGCAAAAGTAAAGTAATCCCTCCAAAAGAAACTGCTCAGAAGAGTCAGTGCTTTTAACATTCAAATAACTTCTCCAGAAAATTTCTCTTGCAAGTAGAACATAATGGAGCTACTCTGTCATTGAGTTCTATCTTGTGTGGGCCAAGTCAGAGTTCATCAAATCATTAACAATTTTTAATGGCTCACTGATACGAAATCGGGCAGATTTCTATGCAATTAATTCATTTTATGACAATGGCACAGCAGAAACTGATCAAGAGATGTTTCATTTCATTTTTTTTACTCATATGATTTTCTGGGATGAGACTGCAAGGTGCAGTGCTACCCTCCATGGAAATCTGCCATGCTTGCAATCTCCTAACTAATAACACAACTGCACACTTCATGATCTCGCTGAGGTATTGTGTTATTTTGATATGTCTAACAGGTTATCTTTTGAAACAAGCAAATCCACAAACCACTCTGTAATTCAGTGTCAGAACAGGTTATGCATATCTGTGGTAATTCAAAGTCAAATGACCCTCTCCATGAAATATATCCACAGGTTCTGATTCCACAGTCTGCTCCTCTTCTGCAAGCAGTTCAGTCTTTCCTCCTGCCTCTAACAGACTAAAAAGTACTAAAACAGACTTTTTCTATGGTTAGATCTGAACTAAAATTTGTAATCAGCTGCTCAGATATACATGAGAAGATAAAGTTCTAAAAAATTGTGGCAACTAGGTACAATATTCTTCTCCAAATTGCTGGCAAAAGATTTTTTCCTTCAGACTGGAAAACTACAGTGAAAATAACAGAGCTTGTGTTCTTACTGGCCTTCCTTTCAGTTTGGAGTTAAGGGAAAGATGATGAACATTGCAGGTTTAACTATCATACCTGAAACTTTGACATGAGAGTATATTTTTATGCTCCACTGGTAAATCAGAATGAGGATGCAAACTGACAACTTTCCTTGACAAGTCCTTGTTCTGTAAACCCAGCATTTAGTGAAAAGCAATAACATACAGACATGAAATACTAGGGCCTGAGCAGTGAGACCCTGAACCAAAGCTGACCTCTAGGTGAACCTCACAACTTAGCAATATACCTAATATGTATAATATTGATTGCATATGCAATATATAACCTTATGAATATATGCCAATTTATAAAAGCTGTTGTTGTAACGCTTATACAGCATTGCTGTAACGCTTGCTGTAAAATAATAGTTGTGTAATGGCAGCCCCACTTGCCAAATCAAACCTTCAAACAGACCTGTAAGTGACAGAATGTAGCAGGGCTGTGATGGGCTTTGTTTAGAGACGCATAATCAAAGATAACCAGACACCTTTACTTCTTCTTAACTTTTTCTCGGGTTCTGGAGAAGCGCAGGAAAAAGTTAACAAGGAAAAAAAAAACACACCAGATGTTTTTCGCACCTTAAGATAGAAAGTTGTTTATTTAACTGCATAAAAGCGGGGACCGTTTGCAGGGAAATTTGGAAGCCTCCTCTACACAGTGGACGCACTGTATAGAGATTTCCCAATTGCCAGGATGAGTTCTCCAAATCCTTCGCTGTAAACGGGCTCCCCAGCGACTGCAGATCTGGATGATGGTAATATAGGGCAATTGGTGATGTATCTTTCTTCATCACTATCGCTAACTCTATGTAGTAATGATTAGGTGCATTACCTTATTTTGTGCTTGCCATAGTAGTTCGCTTATTATTTTGCTGCTTTACCTTATCTTGCTTTATTATTTTCCTCATTATTTTATCACTTTAAACATAAGTAAAAATAAGTTTACTTTTTTTATTTGGTGCCTGTGTCCTTTGTGCTATCCCTGTTGACTGGCAAAACAAGATAACACATGAAGTAATTTTGCACAGGAGGGGAAGACACACAGCTTTCTTAAAAAACAAACAACAGGTTTGGAGCTTTTCTTTTTCTTTAAATATAAGGCAAACAAATTAATCTTTTAATTTGAACAGAAAGAGCATGCCCTATGTGAACTTCATCAGTTTTATGCCTCAACAAAGGCAAATTCAGGCAATGGACTGTAGCACAGAATTTAAGAAGTCATTAAAAAAATTTTTAATGAGAGTTAATTTAAGCTGGGAATTTATGTAGCACTATCCAACGTCTTTTCAGATTGTAAACTACTATTTGCAACATTTTTACCTAAACTAATGTGATGGAAGTGACCACTAAAACATTAAATGTTCAGAAAAAAAAAAAAAACACAGCTGCTTTCTCCCTGCTTACAATTAAATATGCATGAAATTTAAGCCAACTATTCTTAAGGACTGACCACCTTTGAAACTGCATGTGCGCCTACATATGTTTCAAACTTAAATGTTCAGCTGAGTTCCTGGTAAATCAAAACATTGTGCGGTGTCTTATGCATCTACACCTAGACTTTATTAATCTGCAGCTGGTAGGGTACTACCCTATTCACTATAATTATACAGAAATACAAACTTTGCTTATGTCAAAGAGCAAGACAATCAAACAGAAAACTTCTTCCTCTCTTCCATCTCAACCAGAGAGCTGCTCCTGGGCATAGACAATGCAGGCAGCCCCAAGCAGGCAATTCTCCCTGCCACAGCAGCTCCATTTGTGGTATGCACTCATGTTTCCTCCCTAGGAGAACCAGAGCAAGAGAAGGGAGACTAGGAAAGGCCAAGTTTCCCCACAATCTGTACGTGGAAGATGGGCATTTGGAAACTTTCCATGTGCCTCAGTCTGAATGTCACCACAGAAACCAGGAGCAAGCCAAACCAGCCACTTCCCCACCTGAGAGGCAAAGATAATTCTCCTCTGCCCCTGCAAGGGATGCACACGTAAGTGACGCTTGCTGCTTCAGGTTCTTCAGCACCTACTGGGCTTCATATGTGACAAACAGATGTCACAGTTATCAGTGCCAAAAGATGGAGCAAAGAACAGAATGTCTTAAGTATCGTAGATGGCAAATGCCTATTGTGGACAGGACGGATGCAAAAAAGTAACGCCCTGTCCCAGAGAATCACTGCAGGTAGAATGGCAAAAGAAACACCAGAAGCCGCTTTCATTCTCAATTGGGAAAAATTACAATATAAATAAAACTGGGGGGCAAAAAAAATGCAGGCCATGGACTTATTAATGTGTACAGGATTAACGAAAAAAATAATTGCCAAATGCCTGGATTACAGAAATATGTGCAAAAGAGCAGGGCAATCACTCTGTGCACTGGTTTTCTGCAATTTCAGGCAAAAGCCCCCTAACTGTAAAACATATTTGTCCTTCACTCTATAGAATTATTCTCTCTCTCTTCACTCCCTCTCCCCCACCCCGTATATAGCTATATATGAGTCAAAGAAAAGTTCTAAAGCATTAAAAATAAACATCAAAAATGACTGAGAACATCCAAATAATTATTTCTTCAAACATAACGTGCTTATTCATTGAATACTACATATGATTACATGTTTTCCATATGCAGTTCATGATAGAAGTGTTTTTTTTCTAGGAATTTTTAACTGTTCATAGTCAAAACATCAGCTGAAAGGTACTGCTAACTAAAAGCTACATTTTTAGACAATGAAAGAGAAACACAATACATTAAAAACAAACTTTATATCCACTGGATATCTACTACTACATCCAGAGAAGCACGCTAAATTTGTAGAATGAAGAACTCAAAAGGCAGAAGATGCGAACATGAGAAGCAGCAATGTAATCCGAATTCAGCATCTCCTGAAGGTAAGATACATGCCCAGATCCTGGCTACTAGACCAGAGGTAGTGTGTAGAACAGTGAGGTAAGTAACGAGGGTATCATACTGGGCTCCCGAAGAGATGCACAAAACAAGTAATAAAAGTATTTTTTAGACCCTACATATTGGTCTGTTCTTTTTAAGGTCCCTACCAGGAGAAAGGCCTGCGGTCAGCCAAAGGAAAACTCACCAGTGAATGAGGAGGTGGCATCATGCCAGGTGAGAACTTGGGGTGTATTCGCAACAGCACTGGGTT